GGGGAAGCTTACCTGAATAAGGCTCAGTCCACAAAGTCGTCAAACCTGGCTCTGATATCATGGTAGTTACACTAGGAAAGGAAAGTTTGCAGTTTGTGCATGAACACCCCTCTGGCTGGTAATGCTCTCTCCTGGCTGAGTCTATCCTACCATGTAGGTCTCCACTTAAATGCCATCTCTTTACGAAGGCTTTCACTGGCTCACCATTCTAAAGTGTCTCTCTTCCTCCCAACATGTCATATTGCTTTTTATTTTTTAAATGTTTCTTATTTATTTTTTAAGAGAGAGGAAGGGAGAGGAATAGAGAGATCAAAACATTGATGAGAGAGCAACCTCAATCAGCTGCCTCCAACATGCCCCCTTCTGGGGATTGAGCCCAAAACCCGGGCAAGTACCCTGACTGGTAATCGAACCAGTGACATCTTGGTGCATGGGTTGACACAACCTCTGAGTCATATCTGCTGGGGGTCACATTGCCTTTTTAATTTTATTTTTTGTCTTTGCACTTGTATTCTTTAATTCATTGTTTACATATTTATTTTCCTCTATCACACTAGAGCAGCCGTGGGCAAACTATGGCCCACAGGCCGGACCGGCCCGTTTGAAATGAATAAAACTAAAAAAAAAAAAAGACCGTACCCTTTTATGTAATGATGTTTACTTTGAATTTATATTAGTTCACACAAACACTCCATCCATGCCTTTGTTCCGGCCCTCCGGTCCAGTTTAAGAACCCATTGTGGCCCTCGAGTCAAAAAGTTTGCCCACCCCTGCACTAGAGGCAGGTCATTGAGAAGCAGGCCCTGGTATCTCTTCTTCATTACTGTATTTCCAGCCTCTAAAATATGCCTGGCATATATAGCAGGTGCTCAATAAATGTGTCAACCAGGAACTCAAAGACTTAGCATGATTTAGTACTAAAGAGAAAGGTGCTAGATCTTTGTCCAGATTCTTCTCCCTATATCAACCAGCTCTAAAACATGGCCTGGCTACCATCTGTCTATGAGGAAGCCACAGTAATGGTTGAGGTAGATCAACATCATTCTAGTAGGAAGAGATGAAATCTCTTTTTTTGAAAAAAATATTTTTATTGATTTCAGAGTGGAAGGGAGAGGGAGAGAGAGACAGAAGTATCAATGATGAGAGAGAATCATTGATTGGCTGCCTCCTGCACGCCCCACACTGGAGATTGAGCCCACAACCCAGGCATATGCCCTAACCAGGAATTGAACTGTGACTTCCTGGTTCAAGGATGACGCCCAACCACTGAGCAATGCTGGCTGGGTGAGATGAAATCCTTTAGTTAGAAGATATAACACAATAAATATCAACCTGGATGAATATATTTTGGATGACTAAATGTAATATTTCCCATTTACATGACTAAACAGATCATTACTAGAGACAGGTTAAAAAGGAAAAAAAGCCCAAGTTACGGTTTGGAAAAACATTTCCTATTTTCCAAAGAAAAAAAGGGTTGAGAATTTTATACTATAAATCATTCAGGCAGAAAACCACAGATTTTCCCATTTCATTTTGGTGAGAACAAAGCAGTTGTTTGCACATTCTTCATGTCGCACCTGCTCTGGCCTGCCCAGTATAAACATCTTAGCCAAAAAGTGTAAATTAGTTAAGCATAGCCTTCTGAACAATGAGAATGAGTAAGTACCATCCTTAATAATTGACAGGCAGTGTTTTTTATTAATCTAGCAAATTTAATAATAATTGTAAATGGGTAAGTTTAGAAAAGTATTGTGCCTTGAAAAGATTTCTGTGAAATATGGAGGCAAGACATTAAAACGAAACACAACAATGTAATAAATAATAATTAGTCTTGCATTCACTGCTCTATTTATTAGAATGACAATAGTACAATATACTTCAAGCTCCTTGAATTGTGCTTAAAATTCTTCTAGGCAAGACCAAGAACAACATAAATGAATAATGCCTCAAAAAAATTATTTAGGGATGAAAGTCTCCAAGAAGATGCAATCATGATGGAGTTAAAAAGAAAACGACTGACATTTTATAAAGAAGAAATACACTGTTGAATCTATCAGGCATTCATTTTTATGGTAAAACAATTCCATTGCATCCATCTAATCTTGTGATTAAGACTGAAAATTATTAATCTGTACCAGCCTATCAAAACAGAAGGCATTGTAGTTATATCTTTCTGAGTAGCAATAGTACATTAATTACAAATGCCTGGCTCATTATTTGCTCAAGAGCAAATGACAATTAGCTTGCTCCTATTGCACCTGTTAATGCTACTGGTATTAAAATAAGTAGGAAATACTGAATCAGGTTTCTGGCATTTCCCTTCAGTTTATGATCTTCTGATTGATGCCATATTAAAAATGTACTTAGTCATTTAAGTCACAGGCAAGAAAGAAAATGGCTCCTGAACAACCAAAAAAAAAGGGGGGGGCAGTGTTGAGGTGTTGCAGGAAGAATATTTTCATGGCAGCCCAAAGAACGAAATCACTGGGAGATGAATCATGATCTCATATAACTGAGCCAAACAAAGACTCTAAGCAAAATATTTAAGTTGGCCTCTAAACAACACAACAACAAACCTTTAGCCCGTAAGAGGTTAGATTTTACAGACAGTGCTTTTGAATATGACAAGCTGCTAGAATACAGCAACTGTTTGCACAAATGGTTCTGAATCTCAAGGTTCTTCACATCGGAGCAAACCTCAGGGAGGTTTGGGGTTTACAGCATCTTTCCCCGAACACATCTACAAGGACGTTTCCACAAAGGCTCAATGTGCACTACCATTGGGGTGGGCTGGCTTTGGGTTTTTCTCTATCGAGGGCTCCGAGTTACCAATGGAGGGATCAAGGAAAACAAGAGCCTAAGCATTTTCTGATTCTCAGAATTTCTGAGATGCCTTTTGTTTCGGTGGCGCTGGTGAACTCGTGATAATGAAACTACACCTTTGTACACAAACCTGGACCAGCATTCTAGAGCACATTTCAAAGAAAACCTTAATTTTGAAAGTACTGAGCACAAAGGAGGGAGGAAAAAAAGCTCTCACTGTGCAAGCTTTCTCTATATGTGCAGAAATATGTCTTGTTTTTAAGGCTTGAAGACCGCATTTTAAAAATGTCTAAAACCAGTTCAGACTCTATATCAGAGGAAAAAGAACTATAAATTTTTCATTAAACACTTGTTTCTTTTTTTAAGACAACCTTTTGCATATCTGTTATTGCATTTAAAAATAAGATTTGGTTACCAAGGAAACAGGTTCTGGCCCAGTGTTAATTTGAAAAACTAAAATATATTTGAGAAGTTAACCTCAAAGGAAAGAGCCCATGAAATTATTTTGAATAGTGCCAGAATTTGGTACTTGCAGAACCACAGCTGTATGGTCTGCAATGAGCCATCCTAGACACTGTTTCATTCATGAAGCTCTTTTTCTTCTAACAGGACCATTTACATTTAATATTTCCCCCTTTAAAATTGTAACTCTTCCTCTCCCTAGTAATAGGTATATAAAAGTGTATTTATTCTTGCATATTATCTAAAATTAATCTTTAAGTATATGTTATTTTCATCTTTCATATAACACGTTTAAAGACCGCTTCTTAAAATTTAAATATTTTAAATGTTTCATATTAAGCTTGTTTGCGCTCTTCGAAATTATCTCCAGAAACCCATTTATTTTTAGTTTCAAGCTAAAATGGAGCTGAATCAACAGACTTTTCCAAAAAATTCTTTTGTTGTCTAACGGCGCCACACCTACTATACATATGGTTTTTAAAAAAGAAATCATCTTATTGCAGAATCATTTTATAAGTTTATAAAAGCTATATATTTCTATACTATCTAACTAGAAAAGGCTATCCAATTTAATACCCCCCTCCAAAAAAATTACAACTGTCTTATTTAATTTTTGTTTTAAAAGTCACATTTTAATCCATAATATTCTTGCTGCATGGCTCAAATTCTATAAAACATGCAAATTTCAACCTACCTGTATGTATGTATCACTTAATGCAATGCTAGCATGACAAGACACTCAGCCATTTTTATGTGAAGCGATGGAGACCGATTTCTCCGTCTTCTTGCTCACAAGTTTTAGATGCAATTGTCACACACACAAAAATCATACGCAGAACAGCTTGGATGCACTGTGATCACGAGAACTGAATTTATCAACAGGAAAACAGGATTGAAAAAAGGAAGGTTCTCATCCAAGGTTTCTCTGAGGCTGCAACCAAGGAGGTGGTGTGTTGAATGTTTTCCCCTTCCTCCTCTGAGAGTTCAAAGCCCGAAGCTGACCACTGCAAAGGCCACTGTCACATTTGCTGAAAATCAAACCACTGATACCAGCACTGAAAATACAAATTTGAGAACCAAATTGTTTGCACACCATGGCGTGCATAAGAGTTAAAAATAGGTCCCACCTTACCTCCTACCTGCATAATAAACACGGAAGTTTCAAGTGTTTAATTTGATAGTCACATTAATTAACAATACAACATACATTATTTAAAAGACAGCAAATGCAAGAAGAAAGGGGAGACACCATCTGGTAGCAGAGTTTTGTTGTTGTTTTGTTTTTAGGGCTTTGAAAAAAAAAAAAAAAGGTAAAATCCTATTTTGAATGTGATGAAAAGCAAACATCCAGAAGCAAATGAATCGGAACTGAAAGGTAATGTTGAAATATCTAAGGCTGAAATGAGGCAAAAACAAGTCTTCACTACCAGATGATATGGCATACAGAGCATTTACATACTCACATCTGAAATACTAGGCAACGTGTAATGAATTCTATACACAGCATGCACACAGCACCAGCACAGCTAATCCTGCCTGCCATCTTAGGCTCGCAGGAGCAAGATACGCAATGCATGCAGCACACGAGCACTGGGGAAGGAGGAGGCAAGGAACGGCTCACCTTAAATGCAGTATCTGATTAATGTTGGAAGTGACATTGCATATCAGCCTCAGAGTCCTGGTTCAACTGGGGAGGAGGGAACAAAGAAAAATGTCATCAACTGGTGATGCAAGATGAGCCCAATCACTAAACACTATTTAGCCAACTCCAAATTCTGCAACCAGACAGTAGAAGGCATTTCATACATTTAAGCAGAGCTGCTGCACAATGACTGTGTCCTTCTGCTTCTGAGAATCAAATAATCCTTTTGCTAAGGAAGAAAATCAGCTGGAACGGATACTGTCATGTCATCTTCTTGAAGAAAGCTTTCAATACAGTATGTATCTGGTTTGGGATGCATTTTATAGACTGTTAATTTCATAGAACTGCTAATAATAACAACAAAAAACCAAAACTGTTAAGCTATAGCAAAGTCAAAAATAATATTATAAAAGGTGTAGCATTTCTAGATTATTTTTAAAAATCCTAATTGGTGCCGGCAGGCTTGTAGAAGAATGCATGATCAGCTGTCTGTATCAGTGCTATAACCTCTAACCACAAGCGTGTAAATGTATCCTGCTAAATGTATCTGCAGTACAGAACGGCAGATACCTCCTCAGCTGGAATGGTATTCTAATGTGAATAAATTTGCTTAAACTTAGAAGCAGAATACAATCAGGACAGAAAAATAAATTGATGCTGAGTTCGTTTGGATACATAGCTGACCAGCACGGACGATAAAAGCTAACCAGGATACTGACCTAAATAATGTTGACTTGCAGCAGCCTACTGTACTTGCTCAAAACATAGGATATGCAAAATTATATTTCTCCTCCCTCCCCCTGCAAAAGCTAAATTGTAAAGTAACAAGCCATTAACAGAAATCCAAAAGGCTATAGTTATAGAGAGGGAGAGTACATACTGTAAGAGAAGAAATGGTGTTGTGCTGAGATGCAACGTTTCTTTGTTTCACTTTGAGGCTTATCTTAGCTACGCTTGCACGACGACATTGACATCATGGAGGTCAGGGCTGACACTGGGGTGCTATCCGTTTTATGAGTGAAATGTTTTCTGAAAATTAAATCTCATCTACTCGAACACCAAATTTCATGTCTTCTTCAATACCACCTCTCTACCCTCGCTGCACAAGATTGATGGGATCTAGTTTGGCTGTATGTAATAAATTGGAATCGCCTTCTGTAGAGATTCCAATACATAATTGTAGGAATTAATTTTTTAAAACAAAAACCTTTAAGAATTCTTATGCATCCCCTTTCAATCTTTTCTATCAACGCACACACGCACGCACGCGCACACACACACACACACACACAATTGAAGCTCAAATTGCAATGAAATGTTTAACATGTGGAACAAAAAAATGTGGAAAGAGCTGCTTATTCAGGATTTTGAAGTAACGCCTAATAAGCAAATACTGTTTTGCTACAGAACCAGTGTCACCATGTCCCCAAAGAGAGGAAAACAGCATAGCTTGCTAGAAAAATTTCCTCCATTTCCTGCCGGCAGGTAAAAAACAGAAAAGCATTTACCACGCTGTATAAAACAAGAAGTCTTTTATTTTTAAGGAAACAGAGCAGATTATTTTCCATTCCTTCTTCAGCTACAAAAAAAACCATACCCACCCCCACCCTTAGATCCTGGACATAAGCCAACATTTTTATAAAATGCTATGAGACTGATTTTGAATACATAATATTTACTTTCCTTCTTCATATCTCTTCAAGGTCTTTCATTGCCTATTGCATCACTGAATATGCTAATGTTAGTTAATTTTAACTCGTGCAAAAAGAAATTAACATTTTCTGGAGTTGCTAGTTTTCCAGCGCCTCTATTTTCTATAAGGACTGGCTAAAAATAACTGGGTTAGCAAAACATTCAAACTCCCCAGAATTTTTTTTAAAGGAGAAAATGTATTCGAATATCTTACTTCGGTACTAGGTTTCACAACCGATCTTTTGTTTCTGGTTTTCATTCTGTCTCCTCTCCCAGAATCCAAGTGATTTTTAGCTCAATGTGTGGCAAGTACCCCGCCCAGCTCTATCCCATACATTTTAAAGTATCCGAATGGGGTTGTCCAGATGGTCGATCATACCTGAACCACACTGAGTCCTCTTCTCTTTGGAGCACATCTCTCCCTCCCACAACTATTCCAGAAATAAACGTGGCTCTAACGGAAACACCAATGGTGGAACCATCTTCCCCACCCCCACCTCATTGCCCTATGAGCTCTGGTTAGCATTGACAGCGACAGAAAATTAGAATGGAGTGTCCTTAGGCTAATTCCTGCTGCACCACGGGGGTCGGGAATTAGAGACTATCACTCTGGGTTACAAGGTACCAGTTTAATAGAAGGTCATCTGTAAAGCAGAGTCCTGAGAGTGGGGGCGGAGGAGGCTGAAGCGAACACCTCGGCATTTGGTTCTATTAGTGTCTGTTCAGGTATTCCCCATGAATAACATCTGAAAGCTAAACATTCACATTAAAACACTCACACATTATTATCATGTAAGCTAAGTAGTCACGCTATAGAATCAACTCTAACCCCTTGGAACTCAGTTGACGCCGCCTCTTCCTGGGAAAATAAATGACAGCGACAAGGACAGTAATCCATATCAGGCTCCCAGGAGATGAGTGAACAGTGTCATGTCCCTTTACAGGAGCAGGGTGGTGAATGTGGTCAGGTCCCCTACTGGTACTGGTAAGCCGATGCCTGGGCAAGTGGTCTCCAAACCTTCTTGTGGGGTTCTGTGTCCACGCTCTGCCAAAACGAGCCTAAAAGCTATGTGTTGGTTATTTTGTGATGTTCCCAAAACACTCCACGAGCTAAACGTGGTCTGTTCACCAAACCTGATTGTGTTAAATGAATTTGAACTGTAGCTGAAAGCACTCAGATGGATGAGCTTGTTTAGGCAGACATTCTCTGACTAGTAAATCCTGTTTTGTACTTTAAAAAAATCATGCGCATGCCTGAATTACGCAAGCTTTGTCATGATTACAAGTGGTAAGGGTAAGCATTCACTTATGATTTTTGTCTTTCTTTTATTTATTAAATTGAGTGGGGTGACACTGGTCAACATGAACATATAGGTTTCAGGTGTGGGTTTCTATATTATAAGATCTGTATACTGTGTGCCCACCACCCAAAGTTAAATCTTCTCCTGTCACCTTATATTAGGATCCCATTCACCCTCCCACCCCACCCCTTTCCCTCTGGCAACCATCACACTGCTGTTTGTGTTCATAAGTTTCAGTTTTATATCCCACATATAAAAGCTTTTTAGCTTTTTCTGACTGACTTATTTCACTTAGCATAATGATTTTTAAAAATTCATGCTCCTCACCAACATCCTCGGGGCTTACGCACAGACATTAATATAAAAGACAAATCCCTTTCCCACGTTGTAAATGTTGACCTGTTTTTGCACTGGGAACCCCAAATAATCTGGCAGGAGCAGGCGGGAGAAGGCAGAGCAGCAGCGAGGAAGCGTCTTTCACATAGATTAAGGCTCTCACTTGCTCCCCATCTCATTGTTCTGCCGTCTGAGCTCATTTTATTTTCAGTCCTGTAGGTTAAAATTAAATTGCATGGCTTACGCAAAGAACATAATTCAAGTACGAGCCAAGCTTGAGTCTCCATGTTTTAAAAAATGTAGTCAGGGCATGGAGTCCCAGAGGAATCCTTAGTTGATAAACATTTGGATCGGTTTGCACATTTCTTTATTCCACTCACTGCATTAAAAATTACAGCTGGTTTCCGTTTTTACCTAATATAGATATTCAACATTTGTGGGTAAGTTTGTTATCGGGTTAGGCTGTTTTGAGCTAAATGTTTAAAAATAAAATATTTACCAAATATAACATTTTTGTTTAAATTCTTAGAATTTAAAAGTTTAAAAATTTTTGATGAGCTTGGTTATTTTATCTATCTGTAGTGCATTTAGCCTTGGAAGTAACAAGGTTATAATCTCTCAATGGCTGAAAATGTGCTTTTGGATGATATTTTAGCCTAAATATTTTGGAAAGTCCAGTGCTACTTCGATCATCTACATTTTGCCTAGAGATCTGGGCAGGAATTTCTATTTTCTACCTTGATCAGAGCTGTCTATTAGAACGACCATTTATTGAGAACCTACTATATTCTCAATATTCTAGCTATATTATTTAATTCTAAACCAATAATCCTGCAAGGTGGAACTTAATTATTAGTTATCATCAACTTTAGGTGAGGAACAAATTGAGATTGCTAGTCACACAGTAAATAGCACAGTGAAGACTTAAACCCACGTCTGACTAATTCCAAAGTCACATGCTCATTTGTGGTCTTTCCACCAACTCTGACAGGATAAAACCTCCTTCTTCTACATTCTGCCCTGAGGTAGGAATTTTTTTACTGTGTAGATGACTAGTCGAGGGGAACGCCCTCCCTGAAACCACAACCACCCAGGTTTATAAGAACCAGCCTCAACTCCCCAGTTCCTGAGAATTTGGGGTACCTGTTATACTGGACCAGGAGGTGGAAAAGACAGAATAAAAGAAGAGGAATGAACTAGACTGTGTTGGAAAGTTAAGGTTAGAAAACAGTAACAAATAAGCAGTAACAATTTTTTTCAGAGGTTTGTTATAATTTGGAAATGTTTCATGAGGCAAAATAAGTGGAACAGCTTACATTTCCACCTGAGCAAACTACCTCCCCTGGTGAAGCCCAATCTTTTTATGTTACAGATGGGGAAACTGAGGCTGGGAGAGATCTGGTCATTTGCTTAAGATCACACACATAATAAGTGAGTTGACCCATTTGCTGTATTAAAAAGCATATGATCAATTAAAGAAAAATCAGTGTAACAATCAGGACTGACCTGGTTTTCACACATAGTGCTTTGGGCCTGAACAGATAACCCAAGTTGGTATTATGAGTTCCTTCCCCAACATATTTTGAAAATGGGTTTTTAAAAAGCCTAAATTTTGAATAAGAGAGTTTTCTCCATCACGGTCAGTGTCTCAACTGCATCATTTTACTGATCGACTCTCTGCTGATATCTGTACATTTTGCCCCTGTTTGGAAGATCCCTTCCACCTCTGAAAGTGTGTGATTCTAAAAATTCCAGCTCTGCTTGCTTTCTGGGTCAGTTAGGCCAAGCGCAGGACTCCAAGTCCCCTGCCGCCTGGTTATATGGCCAGCTGACTATCTCCCTCATTGGCAGTAATTTTATATGCCAACCAGATGGCTCTCAAAGGGGGCTTTCTAATCAACTCTATCAGCTCCACCCTGCCTGGGAATACGAGAGGAGGATTATCTTCTGTGCTCGTGAGGCAGAAGGAAGGGTTGGGTGAATAGGCCTGCCTGACAAGTCTGAATTCCAGGAAGCCCCTCCAGGTCTCAGACAGGAGCTTTCTCACTCCCATCCATGAGCATTCGTGTATAAGACGTGGGTGGGAAGGGAGCACACATTTGATGGCAAGGATCTGGCAGCAGGCCCTGGGGACCAAACTAAAGTTACCCTCCAGGAAAGAACTGGAGGGAGAAGGGGAATGTGGACCATGTGGTTTGCAACAGAGAAAAAGTGGTACATGACTTAGGGCTGCAAGGGCAACTGTGGTGGATACCATCCCACCCCAACCTAAATTTAGCTCAGACTCTCCTGTGGGAATATCCTCAATGTCTCACCACCATTTTCAATATCACTACCTCAGCTTTAGCAACAGAATAGTTCCGCTTTCATTTCTCAGTGCACTTGAAATGTGGCGCTAATAAAGACCTTGCATGCTCTCTGAGACCCAGAGCTTTCCTGCATCCCTAAGCACATGCTCATTTGCGGCCATGACCGTTTGCCACTCCCCAAATGGAGAGCAAGTAGAACAACAGGGTCTTCTAGATCTTGAATTGGCAAAAATAAATAAATAAATAAATAAATAAATAAATAAAAAACATATTCAGCAAGAAGATTGAGTTTCTTCTTTCTAGAGCAGTGGTTCTCAACCTTCCTAATGCTGCGACCCTTTAATACAGTTCCTCATGTTGTGGTGACCCCCAACCATAAAATTATTTTCGTTGCTACTTCATAACTGTAATTTGGCTACTGTTATGAATCGTAATATAAATATCTGATATGCAGAATGTATTTTCATTGTTACAAATTGAACATAATTAAAGCATAGTGATTAATCACAAAAACAATATGTAAGTATATATGTGTTTTTCGATGGTCTTAGGCAACCCCTGTGAAAGGGTCGTTCGACCCCCAAAGGGGTCGCGACCCACAGGTTGAGAACCGTTGCTCTAGAGAGATTGGCTACTAAGTTGAAAAGGGAGGGTGGGCTGTAAATGAAGGTGGAGAAGGAATAATTCTTACAGGTTAGTAAGATCCACCCCATGTGAGTGCATAATCCTCTTTGTATCTTTCTTCATCCTGGGCAACAAATATTCCAAGACTCCCCCTGGGAACAAACGCATTTGCTTTCTTTTTTCCCAGATAAATGACTTTGTAGTTCAGAAGGGCCACAACCATGCACCTCTTCTCCACAGAGCAGCTTAACAAGCTTCAGTGAATTTTCACTTCCTTTGGGCTGAAGATAAAAGCACACGAAGCTTATGTTGTATTGAATTATCTACCTTTACTCATATCTCAGGGTTGCCTCCGGCAAGATCTATGTATCTCCCACGGTACACAGAGCATTGACGGGTGCAACAAAGGGACTCATGTGGGAGTGCTCTTCACCGACCAACACCAAACTTGGGGGGGGGGGGGTTCCTCTGCTTCCACCGCTACCAGTGGAATCTTCAGCTCTGTACCATGAAGCTACTTCCTAGAATTAGAGAACTCACTCCGTGAGTTCAGGCATAGACCTGGGGACTGACAGTACCAATGGAAGTCTTTCAAACACTTAATCCCTGTTCCCCCAGGGGAGCCACAAGTAGTCTGGAAAGCTGACCACAGGCTTTGTTGAAATCTGTCCCCTCTAGAACAGGGAAAGGGAGACAGAAGTCAGAGTGACCCACATAGACATCAGCAATACCACTGCCTTCACAAGATGCCTCGACCTTCCCTCAGGCCCTCGGTGGCACAGCGTGTTTCACAGCATTTTATAGAGCATGTCATTGAAACTCTCTCTCTGAGGGAGGAGAAAGTTGGATTCAAAGAGCCTGTTGTTACAAAAGTTCTCAGCAAAAGCTGAGGATAAAAGCCATATTACTTAATTTCTGGCATTCTGCTCTTTATAATTCAACATACTGGCTCAACTTCTAAAGATTTTTATTCCAAACTTTCACTCAAATAGGTACTTAATAAATGGCAATAGAATAAGTGAATTAATGAATAGATGCCAATATAGAGGGCTTATAACTTATTTCCCAATTCATCTCAGAAGAAAAATGTTATACTTGTTTAATTTTGTTTCATAAAAAAAGCTCAATTAAATATAATTTTAAGCAAAATAGTAAATATTGGCCAAAGTATCACCTGGGACCAAGAGTCCCTTGAGAATATTAGAGATGTAGGCTTGATTGCTATATTAAGTCAATCAGATTAAGTTTAGCCAGCGGAAATAGCCTTTATCCTATTTGGTTTGCAAAGAAAAATCTCATGAGTTATCATGAGCAGCTAAAAATAAGTTGCAGGTTTCATTTTCCGTTGTTCAGTATGGTTTTGAAACCAAAAGGTACATAACTAGGAGATGCACCAAGACCTACTGAAGTTCAACAATTCAAACTGTTACCTTTCTAGCACACTGTCCTGATCTGCAACTCACAGCCAGCCCAAGAAATGTACACTACCGTCCATCTCAGCATGGTCTCTTGAGATGAGCCCCCCTAATAAATAAGGCATGGCAGGAAATTGGGAGCTGAGGCCAGTTTTGGGGGACAGTGGCTTGTGTATGTCTTAATATCCGGACAGGATGCCACATAGACATCAGCCCTATTTGCTCAGCCTCACTATTAGGTGACACTATGGACCCCTTTGCAGAGCCAGGGAGTTAATAAAGCCAGAATTTCATTAAGATGGGGCCCTAATGTCGTGAGCGCGGCAAGTACCCCTTGCCCTAAATGCCCATGGCCTTGTGCAATTCCATACTGCACACCCAGGCGGCTCACAATACGTTTAATTTCAAAACTGTCTTTCCAGGGCCAAGTCTGGCAAAAAGGTGTTTGACAGAGGCTAAGTGCCTCAAAGGGAAGGCAGCCATCTCTCACTAGCATTCAGCTGGGCACACGGCCCGGGAGAGAGCCGTGCAGTTAACAGAAAGCCCTCCGCTGAATGAGATGGAGAGGGGGCAAAGAAGGGTTAATCTGCTTCCATTAGAGGAGGGGCCCTGTGATGAAGGTGAAGAGAATAATCTGTACGAAGAGCAGAGAAGACAAAGCGCCATTCCGGAAAAGACATGATTGTGCAGGGCGAGAAGGATGATTTGTCCTAGATTTTCACCGTGAGGCCATTTCTTAGATCTGAGTCTTTACCTCACTTTGAAGTTACAGTCGCAGGGAGGGGAAGGGGGCAGAGTCACACTCAGGGCTGGAATACTTGAGCTTTGATTCTCACTGAGATGGGCGTCTCTGAGAAGCAGAGGGTGAAACCAAAGCCATCGGAGCGCTGCCACAGAAGCCTACCCATAAATCAGAAAGCGGCAAAATAAACAATAGGAGTTGCTTGTGAAAGAGAAACCAGTGGCCAATCCCTGTTTCCTGGGGCAGGGAACACCCTATTTTTTTTTTTTTAACTTAAAAAGAAGCAGCTTTTTAAAAATTTGCTTTTAAAAACTTTTTTGGAAATACTTTAAGATTCACAAAAAGTTGCAAAAATAGTGTGGCGATCATAGGCAAATCCTCTGGTGCCCAAGGCTGTGGAACAATGGGTGCAGCAGTTACTCTGGAACAATGGGGGCAGCAATTACTCTGGAACAATGGGGGCAGCAGCTCCCTTTGGGTTCTAGCTCCTGTGCTTCACTTGGTGCCGTCACAGGAGATGGATGTGGACTTGGAGATGGATGTGGACTTGGGGATGGTGATTTACAGAATCTGAACATAAAAGGGACTGTCAGCAGCTGAACAGTCTGGAGGTTGAACTTGAAAGTCAAATGATATGGTCATTTGGCCCCCAGAAGCTGAGGTAGTAGAGTAAGAAGAAGGGCAGCCAGATATTGTCAGGTGACCAGTGGGTGTGCTCTGATGGGTTTGAGCAGAGTTGTGCAGACAGGACAGATAGTCATACTTCCTTTTAGATGATGGTGAGAATTTTTTAGTTTGGTTGTTGTTTGTTTACCATGTTCTCTGCTGTAACAGAATGTTCCAAATTTTCATTTTCAGGTGCCTCTTCTCTGACCCATTGCCCCTCCTTCGGCCAGATGAGCTGAAGGCAGCCTAGTGCACAGCACCTTTCAGATTTAAAGAGGCAGGCGCATGATCATGAAGTTATGTAACCGGGGCTCCCATCGGTGAGGCTGAATCCATGGCAGTTCCCGTCAAGCTCTAACTTTGTCTTCTTTTCAACTCATGCCTGCCTTGACCTAAAATTTGCCCACAATGTGGGTCTTGCTCTTGCCCTGTCCTTGCTCTCTTGGCTTCTGACTCTGGACCCCACCTCTTACTCTGCTCTCCTGGCATGGATGTGCATGGCTGACTATGCCTTCCTCCATCTAACTTTAGTGTCACCACCTCCGGTTAGGACACACTGTGGGCTGACCTCTTTAAGTGACTACCATGGATGACCCCAGAGGGCTGCCCACACATGTCCCGAGATATGGCCCATCGGAAGGCAGATGAGAAGTCCTCTAGTGAGGCAGGAGCTCACTTCAGGAGTTAGTCTTCTTGCCAGTGCCTTCTCTCTGCTCCTCTGAGGCTGGGTGGATCCGAGAACCTTCGTCTAATCAAGTTCCAGTTTTACCTCTCCCACTATATCTCTGGATATCCACAAGGAGGTAAGTGAACTATTCTGGGTCTCAGTTATCTCATATCCTATATAATAAAAGGCTAATATGCAAATCGTCCCTTTAAGAGTTTGACCCACTGGGAATTCAATCACTTGCTATGACGTGTGCTGACCACTAGGAGGCAGCATGGAATGAAGGAAGGCCCTGGCCGGCCCTGATCACCAGCCAGGCCTAGGGACCCTACTCATGCACGAATTTTGTGCACCGGACCTCTAGTTTATAATAAGGTTTTCTGACTTCCTAGCTGAGACTCTTTTAACTATACCACGAATAAGGGAAAATCTAAAATTCAGAAGCCAAAAAAGAATCTTAAAGTTAAATTCTGGTTTAGATATACTAGCTCAGGGTTCTTTAACTTTTTCTCTAATAAGTAATTGCTGAAATGAATGTTGACTTGCACACAACATATCAATAGTTCTCAAGCTCAAATGTGTATAAGGATTGGGAGGCTATATTAAAATGCATGTTCCTAGGCCCTCTCCTTGGAGCGTCTGGGACCACTGGAGCCTAGGAGTATGCATTTTAACATGAGAAACTGAAGAGGATCTAGGATTTGAAATAGATACTGGTAACTTTTTAGAGGCTAATTTATCAATATGAATTAGGAACCTTAAACATAGGTCATTTGACCTAATGATTCAATTCTAGAAAATTTCCCTAAGATGTCCAAAAAGATTGAACTTTAAGCATGTTTACAAAATACTAGAGGAATCCACAGGCAGCGAAATTGCAAACATATACCGAAGGAATTTCTTCTCTGATACTGCTCCTAGGCCATTGGAAACTAAAGAGAAAATAAACAAATGGGACTACATCAAAATAAAAAGCTTTTGCACAGCAAAGGAAACCATCAACAAAACAACAAGAAAGCCCATTGCATGGGAGAACATATTTTCCAATGATATCACCGATAAGGGTTTAATTTTTAACATTTACAGGGAACTCATACAACTTAAGAAAAGGAAGATAAACAATCCAATCAAAAAATGGTCAATGGACCTAAATAGACACTTTTCGAAAGAGGACATACAGAAGGCCAAAAGAACATATGAAAACATGCTCAAAGTCATTAATTATACGAGAGATGCAAATCAAAACGACAATGCGGTATCATCTCACACCTGTCAGAATGGCTATCATCAACAAATCAACAAACAACAAGTATTGGAGAGGATGTGGAGAAAAAGGAAACCTTCTGTACTGCTGGTGGGAATGCAGACTGGTGCAGCCACTGTGGAGAACAGTATGGAGTTTCCTCAAAAAACTAAAAATGGAACTCCCATTTGACCCAGTGATCCCACTTCTAGGAATATATCCCAAGAAGCCAGAAACACCAATCAGAAAGGATATATGCACCCCTATGTTCATAGTAGCACAATTCACCATAGCTAAGATTTGGAAACAACCTAAGTGCCCATCAGCAGATAAGTGGATTAAAAAACTGTGGTACATCTACACAATGAAATATTACACTGTGGTAAAAAAGAAGGAATTCTTGCCATTTGCAACAGCATGGATGGAACTGGAGAGCATTATGCTAAGTGAAATAAGCCAGTCAGAGAAAGATAAATACCACATGATCTCACTCATTTGTGGAATATAGAGAACAACATAGACTGATGAACAGGGACAGATCCAGAGACAGAGAAACAGCGATCAGATTTGTCAATCCCCAGAGGGAAAGTAGGAGAGGGAGGGGGTAAGGGGGAGAGATCAACCAAAGGACTTGTATGCATGCATATAGGCATAACCAATGGACACAGACAACAGGAATATGAGAGCATGAGTGGGGGGTGGGGGGGTTAATGGGGGGATGAGGACACATTTGTAATACCTTAACCAATAAAGAAATTAAAGATAAAAAGTAAATTAATTTAAAAAAAGAAATAATGTTTACATATTTGTAATAACAGAGCACTAGAGGCAATCAAAATGGCCATCAATAAAAAGAATGGATAACTTAAGATGTATCAGTCCAATGAAAGCACAGTTGTTAAAAATCACATTTTCAAAGACCATTTAGTCACTTGGAAAATGTTTACAAATACCAGTTAAGTGGAGTGAGAAAAAGCATACAAAATATCATTTCAATAATTTTTAAAAGAAGAAAAAATAAATATACAAAAAATTGGAAAAAAATACATTGAAATGTCAATAATGATTTGTTTGTTGTTTAGTGGTTGTTTTCTTCTCAATATTTTTCTGTATTTTCCAGCTTTTGTGTAGTGACTAGTTATGGCTCTTTCTATTTGAAACACAGTGATAATTTTTTTAAAAAGAAAAGACAAGGGATTTGTCTCATGTAGAATGAAAATAGAGGGAAGAGCAGTCTCTTAGGAGTCCAGGCCAGCAATGGCCTGGCTGCTGAGGAGGGCTCACATGACGGACAGACTGAGTCCAGTGTCTGGAGTGAATTTTGAGCTACATTCTCTTTTGCAAAGTAGTTTGGTATAGTCAATGCCAAGGAATTTGGGTCAAGGAGAAAGTCATTTTCACTAGATACTACTTTCTGCTACATTCAAGGATAACAGATTATAGGATCTGAGACACAGTTGAAATGATGTCTTCACTGCTCTTGGGTTGAACTCATGCTTGCTGCCTCTGTGTATAATCCCCCCACCTGACACATACCCTTTCCCCATCACACCAAGCAGACAGACTGCAGTCATGACTACGGGCTTCGGACAGATGGTGGGCTCCTGTCTGGCATGAGAGACAACACCCAGGGTCAATGCTTCTATGGGGTGATTTCAAAGCCTTCTTTGGCCAACGCATTGGGAGATCCAGAAAATGCCAGGAAACAAATGTTTTCGGCAGAGAGATGTTCTCCTCACAGATTTCAGTGAGTCCTGGTCAGAACTCTCTCTGATAAGATTAGAAGACTTGTAGTTAGGCCTCTGGCCTAGAGTCAAACCTTTCCAAACGTCCTTGAAATTTTCACACCACATGCTTTGGTGAGTTAGGGAGTGGTGCCAAAGATCTCAGATGAAAGTCAATTTAGACAGACCAAAACAAAAAAATTAAAATAATGATACTTACAATACTAATAGCAATATCAAAAGCGAAAACACCAATGCTGACCATAATTATGGTAATTATTTTCATTAACACCTTGACTTGCCATGCATTTTTCTAAGTTGCCCACACCATTTCACATCTATTACCTTACTTACTCTGACAGAATCTCAGTTTTACATTTTTAAAAAATACCATTTCAGAGGCAGGAGGAAGCTTTAAAGTTCTCATGAAAATCAGACCCTTTTTGAGTTAAAAACAAAACCCTGAAGTCTTCATGTGGTGTTTTCCAACTGAGTTCTTGACAAGAAATCAGGGGATTTCAGCATGAGAAATTACGATGCCCTATTACCATGAATTCTTAACTTTGGGGATGATGATGTGGCCTTATTGCAAAATTCTCTAAAGGGAGTAATAGAAGATTTATAACGCTGACCCAGGATAAGAAGGGGGCTTGTACTTTTGTGCTATAAAAACTATAAAACCTCTGGGGGTAAAAAAGAACTGACTGGTTTGTGGGCATGGCCTGGTAGTTGCTACGCTCAGTCCACATCTGCTCACCGTGAATCAACGAGTACAGGCTAAGCCCCTTGGATGATCAAGGTTCTGAAAAGACAATGGTGCCTCAAATTTGAACTCTACTCCTCATGTAGAATTAAAAGTTTAAAAATAATAAAATTAAAATTTAAAAAGCTCAAGAAAATCTAGCTTCTCCCATGGTACCTACTTTGACGCTTTTTTGAAAATGTGGAGATCCAAATATTTACAACGTTGGTATTTGTTACCCCTGCCTTGCTGGTGTGTCTGTACCAACACTGCGGAGGGGTCATGGTGACAGTAGTGGAAGTCTGATTTGGCGGTTGCATACTTCTCCCTGCCACGCTATTCAGCTAAACCAGTGGTTCTCAACCTTCCTAATGCCGCGACCCTTTAATACAGTTCCTCATGTTGTGGTGACCTCCAACCATAAAATTATTTTCGCTGCTACTTCATAACTGTAATTTTGCTACTGTTATGCATCGTAATGTAAATATCTGATATGCAGGATGTACTTTCATTGTTACAAATTGAACATAATTAAAGCATAGTGATTAATCACAAAAACAATATGTAATTATATATGTGTTTTCCGATGGTCTTAGGCGACCCCTGTGAAAGGGTCGTTCGACCCCCAAAGGGGTCGCGACCCACAGGTTGAGAACCGCTGAACTAAACATTAGAAATCAGGAGGTTGACCTCACCCTACCTCCACCAGACACACACTCCTAGGTCAATTCCTGCATATTAAGTGCTTGGAGGAGCCATTATCACATGGCAGTTGAAATGAACAAGCTGAATGGACCCTGGCGCTCTTCCTCCTTGACTGTGGCCTTTGCCCTGCCTTTCCTGGTAGACTCCGTTGATCCGGGACTTTCAACAACAGATCATCTCCACTTGGCTCCAGCTTTTGAAACCTGGCACTTGTTCTCTACTTACTCCTTTGGCGGAACCCACCCAGCAGGCATTGCCTTCCCCCACCAAACTGGTCTCATCTGGAGCTTACCCCACTAGCCCAGCCGGCTCTAGCTCAGTGGACACTTTCAGGGCCCAGCAACCCAAGAAAATGGATTTTCAGAGTTGTGGCATTTCTGTAACACTTCAACTTGTTATTCAGCCCACACCGGATGGAGGGTGGGGGGGCAGGGCCTGGGCCAAGGCCAGGCAGCAGTAATAGGAGATCAGACATCAGACTCCATGAGAGCCTGAGAGGCTGTGTCACATCAGCCAGTAGCTGGCTTTCCCGCACGTGGACAATGTGTATTCTTCAGGGTGTGGGTGTGGGTGCAGGTGCCCAAGATGTCCAGTCCAGGGTGAAATTAAATCAGAAACCAGAGTGTCTAGCCAGATATTGACAACACAACTAGAGAACTAGGTACCAGACAGCTCAGGCAAAGCCTGTTGTCCACTTTTAGTACATGTGCTGCTGAAGCGAG